GGAGAAGTTAGTATGTTTATCTACTCCGAACTCTTGCATCTATTAGCAATTTGATCAGCAGTTAACTTTTCTCAAATACAAAATTGTCACTAGCCCCACTATTCTGAATTTTTAAGGATCACTGGATCAACCCAATGGAACTGCCTTTCCTATCACCATGCAGATCTACGAAAGGGATTGAAAACTTTCCTTTTTGTGTTGTGAGTCTAAACTCTCTCTCTCTACACACACACACACATCCCAAAACAAACAAATAAAAACACCCCAGTTCTATAATTCGTTTTTTTTAAGGTCTTGGGACAAATTTATGATGTTGACTATCATTTTAGGGATGATAAAAGTGAGAGTGAGGGGGTCAAAAAGGGAAGATATCAATACTGATAGTAATTAAATTTTGTAGTGCTTAGGATATCTCTCCTTCCCTTTATAAACAAAATCCCCAAGCGTTAAGGTGAGTCCTCACTTATCCACATTTTTTTCATGAATATGCACAACTCCATATATGATCTTTTATATATTGTATTTGGGGCTTAGAAACTGAAGTCTAAAATGTAAGGCTGTATGGCTCATGGTTAATGAGAAGACATGGTCTCTCTAGGCAGGTTCCATTATCTTGCAGTAAGGAGAAATAAAAGCAGATAAAATAATCTTATTATTAAACTACTAATACCAGGGCAAAAATGCCAGTGCAAAAATCATTAGTAAAATATCAGCAAACAGAATCCATACCACATTAAGAAAATATAGCACAACAGGGATTTATTCCAGGAATTCAACTATGGTTCAATATTAGGAATTCCATCAGTCAGCATGTTAATGGGGAAACACTAAAGGCATTTTACTAAAGTCAAGAAAGTGGTAATGGTAGAGAAGGCCTAGTGTTGCCACTACTATTTATACTGTACTGTATCTAACTGAATTGGATAAGAGAAAATAATAAGAAGAATAATTGAAGAAGTAAAACTATATTTATGAATGATATAATGATAGACTTGGAAAACCTTATGCAAGAAGATTAACTCAAAATTTTAGTAAGGTAACAGGATATTCAATTAACTTCCAAAAATTAAGTCTTTATTTTACAAACAAAATAACCAGTTAGGATATAGTGGGAGAGAAAGCCTCCATTTACAACAGCAACAAAAAGAGAAATGTTTAGAAATAACTAGAAATATTTAGCACCCTTTATTAGAAAAACTTTAAACTCAAAGACACAAAAGTAGACTTGAGAAAATTTAAAGATGTTCTTTATTATTGAGTAGTAATTTTCAACAAAATAAATATATTATTCTCTCTAAGTTAATTTATAAATTTAATGCAATCCAATAAAATGCCCACAACTAAAAAAACCCCTTTATTGTGAAATAATAGATTCTAGGAAGTTGCAAAAATAGTACAGAGAGGTCAAGTGCACCCTTAACCTAGTTTCCTGCAATATTTACTGTTTACATAATATCAAAACCAGGAAAGTGGTATTGACACAATGCTTTGTGTATATCTCGCTGCCATTTTTTCATGGTGTAGATTTGTATAACCACCACTTCAGTCGAGATAAAAAAAAAAACTGTTCCATCATCACAAAGATCTCTCTCTTACTTCTCCTTTACACTTGCACTCATTCCCCTCCCCAATCACCCTTAAACATTGGCAACCACTAATCTGTTTTCTGTCTCCATAATTTTTTCACTTTGAAAATGCTACATAAATGGAATCACATAGCATGTAATCTCCCCTCTATTCCTAGTTTTCTAAGAGCTTTAAATCATGAACAGGAATTGAATTTTGTTAAATGCTTCTGCATCATGTGATTTGATCATGTGATTTTCTTCTTTAGCCCGTTAACATGGCAGATTACATAGATTTTTGAATATTGAATCATCCTTTTATCCCTGGAATAAAACTGTACTTGGTCAAGGTATAGAATTCTTCTCATATATTGCTAAATTCTATTCACTAATATTTTGTGGAGGATTTTGCATCTTCATTCATGAAGGATGTTGGTCTACAGTTTTTTCTTTTTTGTACTGTCTTTGTCTGATTTCGGTATCAGGGTAGTATTGGTCTTGTAAAATGAGTTGGAAAGTGGTCTCTCCTATTTTTGGGAAGTGTTTAATTGATGTTAATTCGTAAAACATTTGGTAGAATTCTACAGTGAAATCAACTGGGCTTGGAGATTATTTATTTATTTATGGAAATATAATGGACAATTAGTTGCTTGTATTTACATTACACAATTCACTGAGTTTTTTCAATTATAGTTGGCATACAATAATATATTAGTTTCAGTTATACAGCATAGTGATTAGAGATCTATATAACTCACAAAGTGATCACTCCAAAGTCTAGTACCCCTCTTCCCCCTTATATATTTATTACAACATTGTTAACTATTTACCTTATGCTACAATTCGTATCTACGTGTGTATTTTGTAACTGTCCATTTGTACTTCTTAATCCCTTTGCCCTTTTTTTGCCGTCCCCCCCAAAGCCTTTCCCATCTAGTAGCCCTCAAAATATTCTCTGTATCTAGGAGTATATTACCATTTTTGTTGTTGTTTATTTTGTTCTTTAGATTCCATATGTACATGAAATCATGTGATATTTGTCTTTCTCTATCTGACTTATTTCATTCAGCACAATATCCTCTAGGTCCATCAAGGCAATATTTTTTTCCATCCCCTTCCTTTTAGTGAGTGATCACTTTTAATCTGAAGTGATCTCTTGTAGGCAGCATATGTAGGGGTCTTGTTTTCTTACCCATTCAACTGCTCTTTTGGTTGGAGCACTTCTTTTCCATTTGAGGTACTGGTTGATAGGAATGTAATTATTATCATTCTTTATTCCTGTTTTTGAGACACGTTTTTTCTTCTTAAAGAAGTCCCTCCAACATTTCCTGTAGTACTGGCTTGGTGGTGATAAATTCCTTTACCTTATTTTTGTCTGGGAAGCTCCTTATCTGTCCTTCAACTCTAAATGATAGCTTTGTTGGATAAACTATTCTTGGTTGTAGATCCTGGGTTTTCATCATTGAATATTTTGTGCCAAACCCTCTGTCCTGCATAGTTTCTTTTGAGAAATCAGCCAGTCTTATAGGTGCTCCCTTGTAGGTAACTAACTGCTTTTATCTTGCTGCTTTTAAGATTCTCTCTTTGTACTTAACCTTTGGCATTTTAATTATGATATGTCTTGGTGTGGGCCTCTTTGTGTTCCTCTTTCTTGGGACTTTCTGAGCTTCCTGGGGTTGTGTGTCTACTTCCTTCAGCAGGTTAGGAAAGTTTTCCATCATTTTTCTTCAAATAGCTCTTCTACTTCTAGTCCTCCCTCTTCAGGTATTGCCATGACATGAATGTCGTTACCCCTAATTTTTGCCCCATAGGCTCCTTAAATTATTATATTCTTGATTATTTTTTTCTTGCCATTCTGATTGGGTGTCTTTGGCTTCTCTATCCTCTATATCAGTGGTTCGATCCTCTTCTTTATCCACTCTATTTATTCTAACATACTCTTCATCCCAGATGATGTGTTCTTCATTTCTGACTGGTTCCTTTTTATAATTTCCATTTCCATTTTTATGTTTTTTATCTCTTTTTTAAAGTTCTCACTGAATTCATCTACTTCCCCTAAGTTCACTGAGCATCTTTATAACCAGTGTTTTAAACTCTGCCTCTGTTAGATTGCTTGACTCCTGGATCTCTCATTCCTAGATCTCTGTTTTGTTCTCTCATATGGTTTCTGCTTCTTTGTTTTCCCATTTTGGCTGCCTTTCTGTGTCTAGTTCTATGTACTAAGTAAAGCTTCTAAGTCTCCCGGTCTTATTAGTGTGGCTTTGTGTGGTAGGCGTCCAGTGGCACAGTCCTGAGAGGGGTTCAGCTGCAGGCCAAGTTTAGCCTCAGCCTGCGCCCCTCCAGGGCCACCTGTTAAGATTCAGCAAGCAATCCACAGATGGTGCTTATAGTTGCCTCAAGAAGCCATGCCTGAAACCAAGATCAGTTGCCACTAGTGTGAGTCTAGATGCTGCTCAGCAAGTGGCATAAGACTCACTGAGGACACACTTGGATGTGGCTTGGGTAGGGCCATGTGTTGAGAGTGTCGAAGTTTCAGGAAATCCTGGCAGAGCAACCTCTGTTATCCAGTTTGATGATGTCTCAGCTATGAAGGCACTGCATCCACACACTGGGAATGGGGAGGGCTCAACAGAGGAACAATGGATACCACCAGCACTTCTGCCCAGGAGAAAGCCTTGCCTCCAGCCCTCGCTCAGACAACTCAGTGTTTTCCTATAAGTCCCTGGTGCCCTCTGAGCAGCTGACCAGCCTTGGTGCTCAGAGCAAGCAGGTCCATCACTGCGAAAGTCCGCTCGCAAATATGGCCCCCTTAAGAGGCGCCTGCAGCTGTCACAGCCTCTGTCCCACAGCCTCAGGAACGGGCAGCCTCGCGTCTTCACCCCCTTCTACCTTCTACTGTTGCAGGGTAATTTCTTATTTCTCTCCCTAGTCGTAGGGCTTCTGTTCATCTAGACCCAGGGCAATTTTGCTTGTTCTTTGCTCTGTGTTTCTGTTACAACTGATGTGGTCCCAAGAGAGGATGAACAAAGCTTCTATCATCTACACCATTTGCCCAGTCTCCATGTTAATATTTTTCAGTCTATTTTTCTCTCTGCTGTTAATATTGGTTAATTCCCACTGTTAAATATGCAAGTTCACTGATTCTTTCTTTTGTCATCTTCATTCTGTTGAGCCCACTCAATGATTTTTTTTTCACTTGAACCTTTGGCCTGACCAAATAATATTTTCTTTTTTTAATAAGTGTTTTTTAACACTGATTTTAAATATAGCTTCTATTTTGTACAATGAATTTCCCAATTACAACACAATTCTAATAAAATGTAATGTTATTTCCTTTCCCTGTGCATGTATTTTCTATTTAAGCACTGAGAATGCCAGTAATTTAGTACAGTAGCTCGATTCTAAAACTGTTACTGATTCTCCCTAGTTGTAGGGCTTCTGTTCATCTAGACCCAGGGCAATTTTGCTTGTTCTTTGCTCTGTGTTTCTGTTACAACTGATGTGGTCCCAAGAGAGGATGAACAAAGCTTCTATCATCTACACCATTTGCCCAGTCTCCATGTTAATATTTTTCAGTCTATTTTTCTCTCTGCTGTTAATATTGGTTAATTCCCACTGTTAAATATGCAAGTTCACTGATTCTTTCTTTTGTCATCTTCATTCTGTTGAGCCCACTCAATGATTTTTTTTTCACTTGAACCTTTGGCCTGACCAAATAATATTTTCTTTTTTTAATAAGTGTTTTTTAACACTGATTTTAAATATAGCTTCTATTTTGTACAATGAATTTCCCAATTACAACACAATTCTAATAAAATGTAATGTTATTTCCTTTCCCTGTGCATGTATTTTCTATTTAAGCACTGAGAATGCCAGTAATTTAGTACAGTAGCTCGATTCTAAAACTGTTACTGATTTTACTATAAATTTGGCTCCTTCAATTTTTTATTGTGGAACAATGCTGAGGTATCTATGCTCAGGTTGGCTTAATTCACCTCTTTAAAAGGGGCCCAGAAGAGGCAGCACCAGATGCAGTAGCTTCATCAGCAGAGAAGTCCTAGGAATTCCTCCTGGCATGTCTCTTGCACTCTTGATAATGATGAGGTTGCAAATTTTCTTCGGCTCTTTCTGCTGATGTTCAAATTCTTCCTTCTCTGTAGTCTGATTCTTATTGAGCCAGTTGATGATTTCACTGCATTTGTCAAGAATCTTCTGTCCTCATCTTTGATCTAGCCTACAAATTTCTCATCTTCAGCCTTTGTTTTCATGTTTAATGCATAGAATTCAAGCAAATTCTAGTTCCTCTGTTTCTCATATTCAGCTCGGTACTTCTCAGCTTCTTTGACCATATGCTTAATGTCTTCCTTGCTCAAATGGCCCTTGTCATTTTGATGGTAATCTTGTTCTATTTTCCCATATTCTTATCCACAGCAGTGACATCTAGAACACCAGTGGCATCCTGAAACTACATCACATGAAACAAATACATTGAATCGCATATCCAATGCATACTATAACCACATAAAAGAAAAAAAAATCTAATCCACAGCATTGAACACAATACTTTGATTATATAGCTTCTGTGTAAAGATAAAAAGAATGGCAAGGAAATCTTGAACTTTACTTAGTTTTGCTGTTGGTAGGAGCATAAATGTAGCTGTTCTGAAAATACTATGTGTGTGTTGTCAGATTGAGCAAAGAAAAAGGTTGATACTAATGGGAGCCAGTGTTCTCACTGTGGAAGAAGGGATATACAATTATGGAATGGGATAGAGTAAGGAAGAACCCTGTAATATTGGATAATATTGTGAATTTGGAGACTTCAGTATGAACTCATGTTTTCTCCACCCCACCTTCTCTTCCTCCTCCTCCTTCTTCTTTTCCTTCTCCTCCTTCTTAGCTCTGCCATTGAAAAGACCTAGAAGCAATGACGCCCCAGTAGCAATGAGAAAATCCAGTGCCTGGATCTTGGTTTCCAAATACTATTCCCCCTAAAGAGAACTATAACTCATTGGGGAACTGCCTGATTTTAGGGCTGAGGCAGGAAAAGTACAAGATGAACATGGAACATCTTGTGCTAGAAAGTAAGGAAGTCCTCAAGAAATGATGGGGAACATGTCATAAGGACATAGGTGGCAGTCTGACAGAGCTCCTATCGGCCAGTTGGGCATCAAAATTGATAATGTTAGTACACATTGGACATAAAAGAATTCTTGAGTCCATAATGATATAAATAAACAAATAAGCAAAGAGGAGGGGAGAAGGGAAAGCTCTTCTTTTTAGTAAAAGATAAAAGGACCACTATGGAATCATTAGTGGAAGCTAAAACCATTAGGTGAACATTTCTTGGGTGATAAAGATAAACAAAGCAGATATTAATTAAAGCAGTAAAAAAAGGTTTTATTCAGTAACTACTGACAGTAAGGAAAAGAATTGAGCTCCATTTTTATTTGCACTGAGGTGACTGGACATTTCAAAGGGAAGTAGGGAAGAGGACTGGGGCGGGGATCAAGTGAAAAGGGACAAAAGTCTGGTCTGTGAACATGTGATTAGGCCAATTGTGTTTGCTGCTGGTAGTTATCAGTTAGGATTCTATCCCACAGAGACTGGGAGATGGAAACCCTATTCTTCTTGATGATTGAATTTCAAAAGAATGGCTTTCACATCCTTGAGACAGACACTCTTGAGTTAGAGGAGATATGTCTACATCTTGAAGAGACAGAGGAAGGAGTCACAATGGTGAGCCCTTTTTAGTAATGTTCTAAAGGGAGGTCAGAAGGCCTATGCCATGTGTTGGTAAGAATAAACAGTAAATTATCTTGACAGCACTGAGCTTTTCCAAACAGGAGCTCAAAAGGAGGCTAGGTTGTTGTACCATGTGGCTTTTAGGCTGCTAGAAGCCACATTCAAGTCAAATGCAGAGGTTTGAATGGAGTTTTTGTATGGGAAGTTTTCACAGTTCTCATGGGTTAAAGAATAATTAACATTCTCAAAATATCTCCCCTCAGATTACTTATAAATTAAAAGTTGGGGGGAGTACCTTTATAGTGGAGAAATCTGGTAGTCACCACCTTAACCAATTGACGAAAGTTATAACACCAACAATAAGACAAAATGACATCAGGTGGCTCCTAATGTGATGCACAGAGGATACATCATATATAGCATTGTTGTTAAAAAATGCATAACCTGAATTAAATCATGAGGAAACAAACCATAGTACATTCATACCATGAAATAAAAAGGAACAAACAATATACTCTTTAGGGCTGAAGAATCTTAATCCCTGCAATTTCATCTCAAATAGTTCAGCAGAAAAAAAAAACAAAAAAAAACACCAAAATATCAGTGTCATGAAAGACAATGAAAGGAAACAAAAGACATTTTAAAACTCAAAGAAAAACCACAATGAGATATTACTATACACCTAGCAGAATAACTAAAATAAAAAATAATGATAACACAATGCTGTCAGGGATACACCAAAACTGATTCACATAGATACTGCTGGTGGGAATATAAAATGGTACAGTCATTCTGGGAAAAGAATTTGACAATTTCCTAAAAATTAAGCATGTACTATCATTTCTGGGATAAATACCCAGAAATTGAATTCCTGGGCATTTATCCCAGAAAATAAAAACTTATGTTGACACAAAAACTTGTATACAATTGTTAAAGCAGTTTTATTTGTAATAGACAAAAATTGGAAATAACCCAGATTTTATTCAATAGATGAATTATTAAACAAACATGGTACATTCATACCATGGAATAAAAAGAAATAAACATTGATATACTCAACAATCTGGATAAATCTCCAGAGAATTATGCTGTGTGAAAAAAGCCGATTCCAAAAGGTTACATACTGCATGCTTCCATTTATATAACATTTTTAAAATGAAAAAGTTATAGAAATGGAGAACAGATTAGTGGCTGTCAGAGGTTAAGAAGGGGGTGGGACAGGAAGAAAGTAGGTGTGGCTATAAAAGGGCAATATGAGGGATTCTTGTGTTGACAGAAATGTTCTATATTGACATGACTGCATCATTGTCAATATCCTGGTTGCGATATAGACTAGAGTTTTACAAGATGGGAAAACTCAAATCTTTTTGCATTATTTCTTACAAATGCATACGGCTCTTTAATTATCTCAAAATAAAAAGTTTAATGATAAAAAACCTAAATAAATAAGATTATGGCTTAGATTATGCATTGGAAAAAAGAGCTGATATAAAGGACAATAAAGGATAATTGGTTAACTTTGAATATTGATTATATATGTTAGAAAATTGTGTTGTATCAATATAAATTTCCTGGATTTGATAATAACCGCACTGGGATTATATAAGAAAATGTTTCTTATTCTAGGAAATACACTGGATTCTTTAGGGCTGACGAATCTTAATCCCTGCAATTTCATCTCAAATAGTTCAGCAGAAAAAAAAAAACCCAAACTGATTTACTATATATACATATAGGTGTGCATGCGTGCGAGCGAGCAAGTGAGCGAGAGAAGCAATAAAGCAACTGTGCCAAGATGTTAATGAGTGAAGTATATGTTGGGTCATTATAATATTTCAGTAACTTTCTGTATGTTTAAAATTTATTTTCCAAAATAAAATATTTAATTAAAAATTTCCTCTGTTAGCACAACAAATTACCAGATGATAGAGAATGACTAGGAAAGATGCAAGCCATAGACTGTTTTATTACTACCCTGAAATCCATGCCAGGAAATGAAACTTAGAGTTCTATTTGACTGCTTCAGCTTATCACCATCCTCTCCTTAAGAGAGTGTTTACCTAAATGAATACTGTGAGGGAGATCCAATCAACATGCCTTAAAAGCAAATTTATTATTTATTTTTGGAACCATGCAAAATAAAGTAGAATTTAAAATAAAAAAAGTACATCTTGACAAAAATGCAGAGAGGAAAATAAGCAAGAGAAAGAGTTGTGGAGAGGTAAAGAGCAAATAAGTTATGTAAACCACATGTGTTTGTAAAGAAATGAGGTTTATAAAGAAGTGCTAATACTTTACTAGTCATTGACTTTTTTTTCTATTTCTTAAAGAACCATTTGCCCTTATATTATGCAACAAATCCTTCCCTTTTCCTAGAACAAAAATTAGCATCAGGTTCTATAAATTTTGTCTCACCTTGGACAAACAGCTTTTTTCTACGGTAGCTTTCCACCATGAAGGAGAATCAGATTACCCCATACCCAACCACCACTTTCCTCTGTGACCAAGTTTTTAGGTTGAATTTTCAAGGAAGACAGGTGGAGCTTCTTGCCTCACACTTCAAATTTATTTAAAAAAAAGAAAAAAGGGAAATTAATTTAGCAAATGAGAATTTCAATGACAATGAAAGCATTCTCAATAGACAGAAATACTGTGCAAGCTACAGAAAATGTTTCTCAGAGCCCAAACTTTGTTTTGAAAGTATTATGCAGTTTCATTTTAAACTCTTTCTTGTATGGTTTTGAGAAATCTTTCAATGAATGTTTTCAAAGAGCGCCATTATCTTAATAGTCTTCAGAATAAAACTACCAACACATATTATTTTTTTACTTAAAAATTTTTGAAAGAATATTAGATTTACAGAAAAGTTGCGAGTACAACATTTTTTTTTCTTGAACTATTTGAGAGTAAGTTTTCTATATGATGCTTCATTTCCCCCTAATACCTTAGGATGAAATTACTGTTCTCTAATTTTCAAACCCCATTCAAGTTGCACCACTTGTCCCAATATTGTCCTTTATAGCAAAAGGGTTCAGTTCAGGATCTTCTGTTGCATCTATTTGCAATTATCTTTTAGGTCTGGAACAGTTTCTCAAACCTTTCTTTGATTTTCATGACCTTGATACTTTTGAAGATTACAGGCTAGCTGTTCTGTAAAATGTGCTTCAATTTGGGTTATTCAGATGTTTCCTCATGAATAGATTCAGGGCGTGCACCTTTGACAGGAATACCACAGAAGTGATGCTGTGTTCCTTTCATTTCATCTTATCAGAAGGCATATAATTTCAATTTTCCTATTAGCGTTGGTCTCCATTGCTACTATGAAAGTACTTCTTTTTTCTTTGTAATTAATATTTACATTAATTGTAATTATAATGTAACATTATTAGTAATTAATAATATGTATTTTGTGGGAAAGAACTTTGAAGTTGTATAAATATTCTATTCCTCATGAATAGATGCTCAAATTGTTTCATACTTGGCCAATGGGAGCTCCTTCAAGCTGGCTTCCATGTCCTTTTGACATGTCCCCATCCTTAATTTGAGCATTTCCCTACTTTTTGCCTGAACAAGATACCTTAGGCTCACCTTGTAGTTCACCCTGGAAACAGCCATTTCTCTAAGCAACTCTGGTCCCTTTTGTTAGAGAATGATAATCAGAAGCTAAGATCTGGGTGTTAGATGTGCTCATTGCTATTGAGGTGTCACTGCTTCCAGACCCCCTCAGTGGACAGAGTTAGGGAATATACATATGTATACACACTTTTACCTTTACAGTGACATCTTTACCTGTGTTTACAGACATATTGAGAGTTATAAATTTACACTAACTCCAATTCCAATTCAACAGTAAAGGGTTCATTCTCCCTTACTTTATTTGCAACTCCTTTCTCTGACAATGACAAACCTGGTCCCATTCCTTATTTGATAACCCCTTTGTATATAACCAATCTCTCATCTTCCCAAGCATCCTCCCTACATGAACACCTTCCTGATCCTGCCAGTGTTCCAACAGCACACATTGCATCCCTTGGCACATAGAAGCCCTCCTCAGACCACAAGGCCAGGCTGCACACCCTTACCACCTGGATGTTTTCTGTACCCCATGTAGATTCTGACACCCATGCTCGGCAGCCTGCCTGAGCTGACATCTATCTCACACTGCTTGTTCTCTGACACTGTCCTTGAGCCATGTTTGGATGGACATCCTTCTCCCCTACTTGGAGTCCAATACCCTTGCTCAGGGAGTTCTTCCATGTGGATGCAATTCTTACCCTGCTCTGGGCCACTGAGGAGCCCTAATGTGTGCATGCCTACTTTGCTCAGCTCATCTAGTGGTTTTAGCACTGATTTGTTTAGGAAGGTAGGGTAAAGAAAAGGAAGGGAAGAGAAAGAGCCCTCATAATAATTATAATGGATCCTTACATTATGCAGTCCAGTCTCTAGCTCCGGGATTGACACTTGTCCATTCTACAGGGGCAACAATGTCAATTACTTTGCTCTACTGCATTACCAATATTCAAGTAGAATGAATTGATTGACTAGAAATAGCTGTTTGCTAATAATCACTGGAAGCAAAAATAACTTGTTCTTCAGAATTCTACTGACTTGAAATATTTAGCAAACTGTATCACATTTTGCAACATTCTCCCCACAAACCTCTCACCTCAGAACTTATGAGGTTCCTATTTATTGACAAGGCTTAACAGATATGTGATGTTGATTATACAATTGATTGGTCAGCAAATATATTGAGGACTCACTCTGTGCTCACTATTGTGTACCTGTATAAACAGCATGTTGTGAACAAAGTATCAAGAAGAACATGCTGTGCTGTGCACTATACTGCTTCTATTCAGACTGAAAGGAAAAGGGAGCCTTAGCATCGGTGAGGGTAGACATGCATTCACACACATGGATGTATGTGTATATAGCATGTGTATATATGTCTGTGCTCATGCTCTAACATCCACATCCACATATATTATGGGTAAGTATATCTTCACGCCATGATAGTTTGAACAGAACATATACCTTATTGCAGACCCCACCAGCACCTGAGGCAAGTCCTGGCAGCTCTGGGTTTCTGCAGCCTCTCACCCTCACATCTGGCTGACTTTCGGAGATTTCATTCTGCCTCCCTGAAAAAATTGACAGGAACCTGAGGCTGTTGGCAAATAACTCTTCTGCTTCCCACCCCTAGAAGTCTACATATATGAAATACATTCTAAAGAGGTAATAAATATTTCATATGTGCATGTTATAGACCCTTTAATCTTATATATATCTGCATGCCCACCTAGTTCCACTGAACTGGTATTTTACATGAAGGGGCAAAATTATAATCAGAGCTGGTGGTAGTGGTGGTTGACTGAAGATTCTGAAGTCAGACCCCTTTGGAATCCTGGTTTCACCACTTGTAATCTGACTGTGGGCAGGTTACTTAACCTTTTTGAAATTTAATATTCTGTGGGGTTAATTCAGAACGTAGCCCCCTCTGCGTACTCAGAAGACAGATGGCTGCTTGGTCAGCAGTCATAAAGAAGGCAGTATACAAAGGGCTCTCCGTCAGCGCCTGCTCCCAAGAACTTTAGGCTGTTCCCATGGCCGTTATCTGCTTCTGTAACCAGCTCTTATAACCAAGCAGCATATCTTGCTCCAATCCGCCTTCAGGGGGCGGCTCTGCTGTTTCCATGGACATTAGCTGCTCTTGTAACCAAGCAGCACCGGCTGCTGCTCCCCCAATGAGATAACCCCTCCCACTTCCTACGTATATAAAACATTGCTTGCTCTCGGTCAGCAGCAGCTTTTTCTTTCAGCTCAGACTTGCGGCGATTGGAGCTCCCCTGCCTCATGAGTAATAAACAGGCATGTTCCACTCCTCTGGTCCTCCTGGTGGGGTTTTTTTTTTTTTTTTAAATATCCAAGTCCCAGGTGCAAGCTCCAGGCCTGGAGCTCCTGCGGTTACATATTCCAACCAATAAAATTGGGACAAAAATAGAGTTTACATGAAGAGGCCGTTGCCTAGATTAAATTAGGTTTAGGTTTAGTAAAGAGGCTCGCATATCTCAGAAATCCAGTAAATGGTCTAAAAGTTAGATCTTGCCATTTTAAGTTCTAATGAGGAATAAACGTTTCACTTTCTTTTTTGATTCTGCTCTATGGTTCACCACGTGGATCCTCTTCTGGCACTGCAGAGCAGAACAAGAGAATAACGGCTTCATCAAATCTACAAACGATCGATTTTAAGACACACAATTTAAGAAATTACAGCATTAGGAAAGAAAAAAAAAATGCTGCCGCGTCTACTACAAAATACCAAGCCATTGGTAAGAGGCATTCTAATTACAGGGATCTTAAAATGTCATAAAAAGAAGCATATTTTCTTGGAATCGTCAACAAAATACACATATTGAACACGTAGCAAACATCTCAAATGAAAAAAATGCACAAGCTCCGCGCGGCCGCTCCTGCGGTGGTAGCCGGACTCACCTGGGCGGGTCCCGGTCCTCTGGCGCAGAACTCCGTACCCGGCGCCCCGCTGAGTTTCGCTTTCCATTCCCTAGGAAACGAAAGCCCGCGATGGGGGCGCGGCGGGCTGCGCGCGGCGATCGCCGTAAGAAGACTGGAGGACGGACACGGATCTGACTCCGTGCCGCGTCCTCCACCAGAGTGCCGTGCGGGAAGCATAGAGAAGCCTTTTCTGAGTTTCTCCAGCATCCAGCTCAGCAGCGGAGGTTTGATGCTGGCGTGGCACTTAAGGCAAGTTTGGTGTTAATTTGAAAGCTTTCTTTCCAGGAAAGACATCCCATGGAGTTCTGCTCATATGCCACCTGGATAATTAAGGACTTCATTAGGGCTCTGCAAATTTTAATAATGGTCTATAGTCATTACATACATATATTGGACCAATGAATTTTTTTTCCAAGCTGATATATTTAGTTGGACTTTATGCATGATTATGTTTAATTAAAAAAGAAATTAGGAAAGTGTTGCAAGCTTGTAAAGAAATTCAAACCATACATACAAATGTGTGACGTAGAAACAAAAATTCTCTTAATCCTCAACTCAGTATCATTTTGCATATACCTTACCAGAAATTTTCATATGTAGAAAATTTAAAATTGTTTTGTAATTTGCTTTTTCCTATTTAGTGGTATATTATGGACATCTTTTCATGGCAAGACACCTAATTTTTCAAAATTAGTTCATAATATGAGAAGCATATCATTTATTTAATCATGGACATTTAGGTTTTCAGTTTTTACTGGTATAGATGATGCAGTAATGAATATTTTATGTACATGTTCATGAGAATATACAGATATAGTTGTGAAAAATTCCTAAAAGTTGAATTGCTGAGTCAGTGGGCATACTTGTTGAAGGATTTGAAAGATTTTGTCAAATTGTGCAAATCAGAGTATTTTAGTCTTGATTCCTCTCCTATCTCCTCCCCCCTTTCCTGAAAGAAAGCTAAATCTAGACCTTTAAAAGTAAAACTCCATTCTTTGACCCCTGAAGATCTGGGTTCAAAGCTTTTGATAATTAAATCAGAGGCTTTTACTGCATACTTTACAGCACTGAGGTAGTTATACTTTGACATTGTTTCAGCAAACAAGGCAGATATTTAAAAACATTTCCGTGTTATATTGTACAGAGCAAGGAGAGGGTTAAATCTGGATCTAGGTTATCTGATGTGTTCATTGGGGAAAATGGGTAGAAGACTAACGGCTCCATCTTGATTTATGGAATACTATCAAAGAACTACAGAAAAGCCTTTTTTTGTTGTTGTTGTTGCACAATTTGGGCACTTTTGCACAATGATGGGCTTGCAAAGGGGAAAATGTTTAATGTACTCAAAGAAGGTAAATTCTAATGTCTTTCACATGGGCTGGTTTTGTTGAGAGAGTAGCCCCAAGATCCTCTTATTTTGGGTTTCATGTGGTGTGTTCTAATCCGTGAGCCCAGCACATTGCCATTAAGAAGCACACTGCAAATGGTTAGGAATGAGGTCTGGATTTGTCGTTGCCATTGTAGGTTGGATTTGGAAGACTATGAGTCAACTTGTATCATGTCCCAAGCATGTTAATTTTCTTCCTTTCAAGGCATTTAAAGATTGAGTCAGTTTTTCTTGAAGAGTCTAGTTGTGAGTGAACGAACTACTCCAGGTTTCCTCATGATTTTTGCTGTTTCTCGAAGACCCACTAGATTCTGTGGCTACAATGATGGCCTAAGCCCGCTGCTCTGTCATTCACATTTCCTACTTATTTTAAGGGTAAAAATTTTGGAAAGAGTAGGAACTAAGTTGATTTAGTTCTTTGTAACCAAAAAATGTATTTTTAAAAATAATAGACTATTTTTTAGAGCAATTTAGATTCGTAACAAAATTGAGTGGGAAGTACAGAGACTTCCCATATATTTCACTCCCCCACCCTCCCAGCCTCCCCAGTTATTGACATCCCGCACCAGAGTGATACTTTTATTACAATTGATGAATCTACATTGACGCAGCATTATTAACCAAAGTTCATACTTTACAATAGGATTTAGTCTTGGTATTCTATGAGTGTAGACAAATGTCTAATGCCGTGTATCCACCATTATAGATCATACAGAATAGTTTCATTGCCCTAGAAATCCTCTACTGAAGCTAATTTTTTGAGTCAAGGGTTGAGTTTGAAAATTCAACTTCCTTGGAATATATCCATCCTCTTTTCTCTGGTGGTGCTTGTCACCACCTGCTTAGCTCAACTGCGTGTATGTGCTGTGTGCCTACTCTGCCTTCCCCCATCCTTCTTAGATCTCTAAGTTTCATTTTCCTTCCTCTTGTTGCCCCACCTACCTATCTCCCCTCTGTGATCAGCTCTGAAGGTTGCTGCCTTTTTCTGTTGCCCTTTGGGATCTGGCCTGCCAGCCTGCGGGAATGATACACTCCACTGGGTTTTACTATCCTATTTGAATGAAGTAAGTATTTTTGAGATCTTGGCAGAGTGCAGAACAGTGTCTTTGGAAAACACGGGCTGGTCTTTTTCTACTCTGTTTCATCAGACTCCCCTTAATGTAGTCCCAAATTGTATTTCTTGTTCATGGAATTGTCAGTTGCCATCATTTCTCTTTCAATTTAACTCTCTTAGACTGAACTGTTTATGACTGTTGAAAATAAATACTAAGAAAAAGAGGTTGTTTATTATCTGAGCCATTTAACATGAATTTAATAATATATGCCACTTATATTTAGTTGTTTCTCAACTTCAGATGTTTTCCTTTCCTCTACAATTTGTAAAAGAGTTAAGAAAAGAAGATTCTAACTTTTTCATCCCTAATTCATTAAGTTTTTGGATCTTGGAATAGGAACAGTACTGCAACAAAAACTCCCTTAAAAGGTATTAAGTCTATCCTCCAAATGAATATTGATTGTTTTAAAATTACATAGCAATTAATTATAAGAAACTTAGAAATTGAAAGAAATAATAAAAAAATTATTTGAGAGTTACCTTTTAGTGACATTTTTGGTATATTTCATTCAAGTAGTTTATCTGTATGTGTGTATAGTTACACACATAGTTATATTTATGTTTCTTAAATTAGGTTAATACCATATAATTTCATTTTTTAAATTTATTTTTTTAAATATTATTGACTATATTCCCTATTCTGAACTTTATATACCAGAGTCTATTTTGTAACTGCCAATTTATATTTCTTAATCCCTTCATTTTTTTCACCCAGCCCCATCCTCCTTCCTGGTCTGGCAACTATCGGGTTATTCTCTATGAGTCTGTTTCTGTTTTCTTTGTTCATTTATTTTGTTCTTTAGATTCTGCATAAAAATGAAATCATATGGTATTTGTCTTTCTCCATCTGACATATTTTACCTAGCGTAATACCCTCTAGGTCCATCCACGTTGTTACAAATGGTAACATTTTATTCCTTTTTATGACCAAATAATAGTCCATAATATATATGTACCATAACTTCTTTTTTATCCAGTTGACATCTTCCATATCTTGGTTATTATAATAATGCTACAATGAACATAGTGGTGCATACATCTTTTCGAGTTAGTGTTTTGGATTTCTTCGGATAAATACTGGGAAGTGGAATTGCTGAGTCATATGGTTGTTTCATATTTAATTTTTTGAGGAACCACCATACCATTTTCCATAGTGGCTGCACCAATTGATATTCCCACCAACAGTGCATGAGAGTTCCCTTTTCTCCACATTCTCGCCAATATTTGTTGTTTGTTGACTTATTGATGCTAGCCATTCTGACAAGTGTGAGGTGATATCACATTGTGGTTTTAATTTGCATTTCTCTGATTATTAGTGATGTTGAGCATCTTTTTATATGTCTATTGGCCATATGTATGTCCTCTTTGGAGAAAGGTCTATTCATGTCCTCTGCCAATTTTAAATTGGATTCTTTGTTTTTTTTCTTTTCTTTTGGTGTTAAGTTGTATGAGTTCTTTATAAATTTTGGATATTAACCCCTTATCGGATGTATCATTGGCAAATGTCTTCTCCCAATCAGTAAGTTGTCTTTCTGTTTTGTTGGTGGTTTCCTTTACAGTGCAAAAACTTTTTAGTAGATGTGGTTTCAGTTTTTAAATTTATTTTGTTTGTTTCCCTTGCCTGAGGAGATATATCAACAGAAATGTTACTAAGAGCAATGTCAGACAGTTTACTGCCTATGTTTTTTTCTAGGAGTTTAATGGATTCGGGTCTTACATTTAAGTCTTTAATCCACTTTGAGTTTATTCTTGTATATGGTGTAAGAAGGTGGTCCAGTTTCATTTCTTTGCATGTATTTGTCCAGTTTTCCCAACACCATTTATTGAATAGACTGTCTTTACCCATATTGTATATTCTTCCCTCCTTTGTCATAGATTAATTGACCATATAGGTGTGGGTTTATTTTTGGTCTCTTCTCTTCCATTGATCTATGTGTCTGTTTTTATGCCAGTACCATGCCATTTTGATTACTATAGCTTTGTAGTACAGTTTGATATCAGGTAGCATGGTATCTCCAACTTTGTTCTTCTTTCTCAAGATTGCTGTAGCTATTTGGTGTCTTTTGTGGTTCCATATAAATTTTGGGGTATTTGTTCTAGTCTATGAAAAATGCCATTGGTATTTCGATAGAGATTTCATTGAATCTATGGATTGCTTTGGGTAATATGGACATTTTAACGATGTTGATTCTTCCTGTCCAGGAGCATGATATATGCCTCCATTTATTTGTATCTTCTTCGGTTTCTTCAAAGTCTCATAATTTTCCAAGTAAAGGTCTTTTACCTCCTTGGTTGAATGCATTCCTTGATGTTTAATTTTTTTTGATACAATTGTAGATGGTATTGTATTCTTAATTTCTCTTTCTGATAGTTTGTGATTGGTGTACAGAAATGTAACCAATTTCTGAATATTAATTTTGTACCGTGCTACTTTACTGAATTCATTTATCAGTTCTAATAGTTTTTTGGTGGAATCTTTAGGGTTTTCTTTGTATAGTATTATGTTATCAGCAAATAATGACAGTTTTTCTTCTTCCTTTCCAATTTGGATGCCTGTTGTGTCTTTTTCTTGTCTATTGATGTGGCTAGGACTTCCAATACTGTGCCGAATAAGAGTAGTGAAAATGGACATTCTTGTCTTGTTCCTGATCTTGAGGAAAATGCTTTTACTTGCCCTGTTGAGTATGATGTTAGGTGTGGGTTTGTCATATATGGCCTGTATTATGTTGAGGATGTTCCCTCTCTTCCCACTTTTCCGAGAAGTTTTTTTCATCATAAATGGATGCCTGATTTTATCAAATCCTTTTTCTGCAGCTATTGATAAAATCATATGATTTTTATCTTTCATTTTGTTTATGTGGTCTATCACATTAATTGATTTTCAGATATCGAATCAACCTTGCATCCTAGAAATAAATTCCACTTGATCATGATGTATGATCTTTTTTAACATATTGCTGAATTTGGTTTGCTAATATTTTGTTGAAGATTTTTGCATCTATGGTCATTAGGAAATTTAGCCTATAATTATAATTATTATTTTTTTTGTAGTGTCTTTGTCTGGTTTTGTAATCAGGAAAATGCTGGCCTCATAAAATGAGCTTGGGAGGCATCCCTTTTCTCCAATTTTTTGGAATAGTTTGAGGAGAATAGGTGTTAATTCTTTCTTGAATGTTTGGTAAAATTCACCTGTGAAGCCATCTAGTCCAGGACTTTGTTTGTTGGGAATTTTTTTATTACTAATTTGATTTTGTTAGTAGTTACCAGTCTGTTCAGATTTTCTCTTTCTTCTTGACTCATCTTAGAAGATTGTTTCAAGGAAGTTATTCATTTCTTTCAGATTGTCCAATTTTTGGAGCATGTAATTTTAGTATTTTTAAATCCTTTGTATTTTTGGAGCATGTGATTTTAGTATTTTTAAATCCTTTGTAATCCTTTTAATTTCTTTGTATTTGGGTCCTCTTTCTCTTTTTTTCTTGATGAATGTGGTTCAAGGCTTATCAATATTGTTTATCTTTTCAAAACTGGCTCTTGGTTTCATTGATATTTTGTGTTGTTTTTTAGACTCTATTTTGTTTATTTTTGCTCTGATCTTTATTATTTCTTTTTTTTCTACTCATTTTGGGTCTTGTTTGCTGTACTGTTTCTAGTTCCTTTAAGTGTAAGATTAGATTGTTTATTTGAGATTTCTCTTGTTTCTTAGGGTAGGCCTGAAATGCTGTGAATTTTCCTGTTAGAACTGCTTTGGAAGTGATTTTGGGGCAGTGTATTTTCATTTTCATTTGTCTCAAGCTATCTTTTTATTTTTTTCCTTGATCTCGTTGTTAACCCATTCATTGTGTAGTAGCATATTATTTAGCCTCCATATATTTGTGTGTTTTCCAGTTTTATTCTTGTAGTTGATTTCTAGCTTCATTTACATTGTGGTCGAAGAAGATGATTTTAATTTTCTTAAATTTATGGAGACTATTTTTGTGGCCTAACGTGATATATCCTGGAAAATGTTCCTTGTACACTTGAAAAAAATGTATATTCTGCTACTTTGGGATGAAATGCTCTAAAAATATCAATTAAATCCATCTGGTCTAGTGTGTCATTTAAGGTTGCCATTTTATTGTTGATTTTCTACCTGGATAATCTATCCATTGATGTCAATGGAGAAGGAAGACATTTCTGTTGGTGCAGATAAGCTAACACTGGCTAATTCTAAACAGTGTTTTTATTTTTCAGTCCAGGTAGTCATCTATCCCTCAGTCATAATACCTGCTTTCTTGTTATCTTTACCAACAGTTCTTTGAGATACAATGTTGCTTTAGGCCCAGTCTAAAGGTTATTTTGTCCTGTTTTAACATTTCAAATGGTTGAGGCATAAGGCAATTCCTCTGTGATGGCAGCTCTGACACTATTTTAAAGTGGCTCTGTTTATGTTATTTGTTTACATCAGGAAGTCAAGGGCATCAATAGCAAGGAGACTTCTTGTGAGCAGCCTTTAGGCAGTAAAATTCACAGCCCTCAACTGGCCCTGGGATGGAGCAGCAAAGGCACACCAGGTTTCTGGTCTAGACCCCTTGGTGAATGTCATGCCATTTGCCAGAAGAAGACCTGGAGGGAAGAAGATATGGCAGTTCACTCTGATGAATTAAAAATGGAGGCATGTGGGGCAAAGAGAGGAGGTGTCTAGCCTGGTTCTCATTTCTAGCCCTAGAGTTTTATGAGCCAGTCTCTCTGCATTTATCTTCCTCCCAGACTTGGGAACAGAACTGATCACGAGAGTACGCTTTCCTCTTCTCTAACCCTTACCTGCCTGTGATGTGTTTTCACAGAAGCCCCACCAAGACTGACTCATGAAAGCCCTTCCCAGATGTGAGGTCATGCAGTCCTGAAGACTTGCCAGCCAGCGGTCTGGGAATTTTGGAGTGATCACTAACGGGCAAGGTGTTTGGGTCCCTAAGCAAATTTGCCAGTCAGCCCTGGCTGAGTCTCAGCGTTCCTCGGCAGATCCTGTTGAGAAGAAAAAAGAGAACAGCAACATGAAGAAGAGGAAGCAGCTATCAGAATGCTTCAGGGCCTGGGATTGCCCTCAGGGTCATTACCTCCCTCTCATCTTTCTCTTTTTGACTATGTAGAAATGCTCTTTTTGACTATGTAGAAATGCTTTGTTCACCCACTATACTCTGAAGCAGTAGAACTTTGTGATTAATAACCCCTGATCTCTTGTGCCTCCATTTCTACATCTTTAAATGGGAATAATCATAGTACTGATTGCATAGCATTATTGGGAAGAATGAGTGAGGTAATCTGTACAAACTGCTTTAAACCAATGCTTAGCATATAGTAACATTCAGCATAATTTCTGTTTTTACTGTTATACCGGTGTGCTAGTATGTCTAGAGGCAAGTGCTTCCGCTGATTCAGAGCAGAAACTTGTGATTACCTGTTACCCCTGGATTTTTATGTTCTTATTGCCCTATCTCATGTACACCAAAGCTTTTTCTCTAGAAACCCTGTGCTACTCCCTGTCCCTCCCTTAAATTACTCACCTTGTGGGGTCTTTGGAACCCACGGCTGGGTTGGGAATGAGAGGTTGGTTGCTAGTGGGTCAGGGAAATGCTGTCTTTCGGTTTTCTCACCTCCTCATAAGTTCCTTTGGCTTCTCGAGGCTAGTTTAGATTAGTGGATCTCCCCTAAAGCTTTCTTCTGATTTCTCCAACCACATGGTGGGGACTGGGTAGAGCCTTTCCGCTGAAGTCCAAAATCACTCTTGAGACCCATAGATGTCCATTCTGACTCAGCTCTGTAAGGAACTCATAATTAATTCTCTAAGTTACACTTTCTGTAATGCTTCTCTCTTTTTCTTTGCTCTTACAATTGCTTGTGCTACTCATTTGACAATAAGTAGTAATACAGTTTCTTGTGACATCTCTCTTTTCCTAATGGACTATTAAAACTTTTACTGCTATTTCACTTTTCAGAGGTTCATGCTTTATCTCTCCTCCCCAGTTTGTTTGCAAGCTCCCTAGTGAATTCTTTGTACCGCTGAGAGTACTTTATAGGATTTCATGTTTTTAGTAGATTCTAGAAAAACATATGATTTTTGTTAAATCCCTTAGCTAGGCCTTGCCCTCAGTATTTTTTTCTCTTTTCTTTATAGGCCCAGTCGGTTTACACAACATTGGACAGACCTGCTGCCTTAACTCTCTGATCCAGGTATTGATTATGAATGTGGGCTTCACTCAGATACTGAAGAGGTAAGACTATTACTCAGGCTGATAAACATGTATATTACTTTATGTTTTTAAATATTTGGTTATCACAGAAGTCTTCTTTTAAAAGTTTCCAGAGAAAAGCCTTGTTCTACACATTCTAATCACCTAAGAAATTTAAAAAGTACAAATGCTTGGTTCTACCCTCAGATATTTGGTTTCAGTTGGTCTAGGGTGGGGCCCAGGCATTGATACTTTTAAAAAGACTTCCCAGGTGGTTTAAAAGTACAATCAAGATTGAGAGTGTCTGATTTGATTAAAAGGAAGTTGGACTAGACCGATGTCAAAGGAGGAGTAAATCAGTGGGTAAGTGCATGAGTCTCTGTATTGATTTTTCTCAAACAAAATACATACATACACACAGAATATGTACGTATGTGTGTGTATACGTATATATACACACACTTTATCACACATTCTTTTCTGCCCTGTGCTTTCTGTAATTTTTTTTTCATTGGCATCAGCAATCGAAAGATGCCTATAATTAAATAAATTGTTGCCAAAATACACTGACATCCTTTCATGTTGCCCTTTTTTCCCAGGACCTAAATGAGTATTTGCTTTTTCACTTTGGAGTGCTTCAGAGTGGACATTGTGCTGTATGACCACTTTGCTGTGGACCTACGACCTACCGCATCTACCTTTCACTTTAGTGTGATTGTCAGGCAGGGTAAGGAGAGAGGTGAGGCAGCAGTTGTGCTGATCCCTCATAAGAGGGTGCTCTCTCTACCTGATTTGCTAACGTGGTGGTTCTCAACTTTGTACATTTAAATCATCTGGGAAACTTGAAAATTCTGTTAACTGGGTCCCACCCCCAGAAATTCTGATTAAGTCTACAGAGTGGCCTAGACATGGAGATTTTTGAAAGTTCCCTCAAGTGATTCCATTGAGAACCATGGAATAAAGAAGTTCGGGTGTTCTTATTTGGCAGGATAACAGTACCAAGAGGAGGAGAAGAGCAGAAGAGAAGTGTCCCCTTCCAGCTGCTCTTGCTCTTGGAGAAGATGCAGGACAGCCGACAGAAAGCAGTGCGACCCGTGGAGCTTGTCCGCTGTCTCCAGAAGTACAATGTACCATGTAAGACCACCCTTCTAGCTCTAGCTCCTTGTCTAGTGCTCTGAGCGGGTGGGAGATTGGTGAGGAGAGGCAGATGAGGAGAGGGAGAGGAGGGGAGGGAGAAGAGGGCAGGAAGAGGAAAAGAGGGAAAGGGAGAGGAGGAGGTGGGAGAGGAAAGGACAAGAGAAGGAAGGAGAGGAAGAGGGAGAGGGAGGAGAGGAAAAAGGAGAAAGAGGGAGAGGGGAGAGGGTTGAGAGAGGGAGAGGGAGAGGAGAGGGACTAATGATCAGTGAATGAACAAGACAGAAGTTAGGTAGACTGTGGATCCCTTATATTGGAGGCATTTACATCGTTCTGAAATATTTTAAAAGAGCCCAAATTTCTTCAGGCACAGAATTGGTATTATTTATGCATATGTTACTTTCATAAACAATCTTTTTCCGCTTGTCAGTAGAATAAGTAAGCCTAAGAGTTCCTCAGAGTTGACTTAGCTGCCAGTAAAGAATCCCAGGAAAACAGAATAAAGGATTAATAAGGAGAAACCATATTCTACAAAAGAAAACTTATAAATTGGTTAGTTAAAAAAAAAAACAGGCTTATTGAGATATACATACTATAAAATTTACTCATTTAAAAATATATAGTCAGAGGTTTTTAGTATATTCAGAGTTGTACAGTCATCATCACAGTTTTATTATTTATTATTTGTTTTTTAATTCTTTAACCTATCTATTATTACTTATAAATTTATATTATCCTCTAATCAAGTTTTTTTAAATTAATCATTTTTTGGTGACATTGGTTAATGAAATCTAGTAAGTTTCAGGTGTACAATTTAACAGTAAGGCATATATATATTGCATTGTGTATATTTTAGATATTTAAACTTCAGTTTTTAAAAACTCTCTTGCTGTGTCCTTAAAGAGAAAGACTATGTTTTATGCCTCTTCTTTCTTAGCCATATCTGGTACTGTGGCAGACACAAAATATTACTCAATAAATGCTTGCTGAATGAAGGAATGAATTAATGTTTTATTGTATTTCTCAATAAAATCAGAAGGATTATCTGTGTTTTTTGCATGAAGCCATTATCTCTAAGTCTTTACACAGTCATACTAGAGGCAATTACCATGCTGAACAAAAGCAAACTAATACCATTCTTACGCATTCCTGTTTTAATAAGAAATTGCTTTATACAAAATAACAAAATAAAATAAATCATGAAATTAATGTTTAATAGAAAGAAGGGTGCATTCATTACCTTTAAGAAAGCATTTTCTATTTTTTCCCTTTTAATATAAATAAGTGGAAGGTATAATGAAGAGAGTATGTAAAGGACCTTTATTCATACATTTAAATTTTTTATAACTAACTAATGATAGAAGTAAAACCTTTTTCTTGCTTGTATATGTATCAATTCAAGCATGAAAATACCAATAACTTGTTCCAACTGGTCAATTTACTCATCAGGAATGTCTTTTTTTTTTTTTTTTTCGGCA